GGCGTGTGGCACCGCTATCAAGTCCGTACGCATATCCATGAGTGTGTGTTTGTGTGCATGCGCTTGTTCGTCAGTGTGTATCAGTGGGTGGGTGGATGTATGCTTCTTGGGGCTTGTACTAAAATTGTACTAGAAAGTTGCCAGTTCTCATCTTCCAGCTCCCCAGATACTCCGCGTACTAAAGTTGTACTACAAAGTCGCCAGTTCTCAGCTTCCAGCTCCACAGATTGCTCCGCGTACTAAAGTTGTACTACAAAGTCGCCAGGTCTCATCTTCCAGCTTCGCAGATACTCCGCGTACTAAAGTTGCACTACAAAGTCGCCAATTCTCATCTTCAAGCTCCGCAGATACTCCGCGTACTAAAGTTGTACTACAAAGTCGCCAGTTCTCATCTTCCAGATCCGCAGATACTCCGCGTACTAAAGTTGTACTACAACGTCGCCAGTCCTCAGCTTCCAGCTCCGCAGATACTCCGCGTACTAAAGTTGTACTACAAAGTCGCCAGTTCTCAGCTTCCAGCTCCACAGATACTCCGCGCACTAAAGTTGTACTACAAAGTCGCCAGTTCTCAGCTTCCAGCTCCCCAGATTGCTCCGCGTACTAAAGTTGTACTACAAAGTCGCCAGTTCTCAGCTTCCAGCTCCACAGAGTGCTCTGCGTACTAAAGTTGTACTACAAAGTCGCCAGTTCTCATCTTCTAGCTCCGCGGATACTCCGCGTACTAAAGTTGCACTACAAAGTCGCCAGTTCTCAGCTTCCAGCTCCACAGATGCTGTGCCTGCCACGAAATCTGCACATGGAGGTTCACAAAGTGCTGTGCCTGCCACGAGATCTGCGCACGGAGGTTCACAAAGTACTGCGCCTGCCACGAAATCTGCACATGAAGGTTCGCAAAGCGCTGCGCCTGCCACGAAATCTGCACATCCAGCGCCGGTGCCCAGCCGACGCCACACCGTACATACGACCTTGGCAAGCAGCAAAGTGCTGTGCCTGCCACGAGATCTGCGCACGGAGGTTCACAAAGTACTGCGCCTGCCACGAAATCTGCACATGAAGGTTCGCAAAGCGCTTTCGCCTGCCACGAAATCTGCACATCCAGCGCCGGTGCCCAGCCGACGCCAGGGCGTACATCCGACCCCTTGGCAAGCAGCAAAGTGCTGTGCCTGCCACGAGATCTGCACACGGAGGTTCACAAAGTACTGCGCCTGCCACGAAATCTGCACATGAAGGTTCACAAAGTGCTGCGCCTGCCACGAAATCTGCACATCCAGCGCCGGTGCCCAGCCGACGCCAGGGCGTACATCCGACCCCTTGGCAAGCAGCAAAGTGCTGTGCCTGCCACGAGATCTGCACACGGAGGTTCACAAAGTGCTGTGCCTGCCACGAGATCTGCGCATGAAGGTTCACAAAGTGCTGCGCCTGCGACGAAATCTGCACATCCAGCGCCGGTGCCCAGCCGACGCCAGGGCGTACATCCGACCCCTTGGCAAGCAGCAAAGTGCTGTGCCTGCCACGAGATGTGCTGCGCCTGTGAGTGATGTTGTGTGTGTGCTGTTGTGTGTGAGACGATGTTGTGTGAGTGATGTTGTGTGTTGTGTGTGAGATGTTGTTGTGAGAGATGTTGTGTGAGTGATGTTGTATGCAAGGCGTTGTGTGTGGGATGTTGTCTGAGTGATGTTGTTGTGAGAGATGTTGTTGTGAGAGATGTTGTGTGAGAGAGGTTGTGAGAGATGTTGTTGTGAGAGATGTTGTGTGAGAGAGGTTGTAGTTAGAGAGGAGGAAGGAGGAAGGAGGGAGGAGGACGGAGGAGGACGAGCGAGGAGGTGCAGCAAAAAAAACAAGAACACCACACAACAATGTGGGGAATGACCGGGACACCATCAAAACACGACCGGGACACCATCACAACATGACTGGGACACAATCAAAACATGATCGGGACACCATCACAACATGACCGCGCCACCATCACATGATCGGGACACCATCAAAACATGACCGGGACACCGTCACAACACGACCGGGACACCATCAAAACATGCCCGGGACACCATCACAACATGACCGGGACACCATCACAACATGACCGGGAACCCTTCAAAACATGACCGGGACACCATCACAACATGACCGGGACACCATCAAAACATGACTGGGACACCATCAAAACAGGACCGGGACACCATCACAACATGACTGGGTCACAATCAAAGCATGATCGGGACACCATCAAAACATGACCGGGACACCAGCATCACATGACCCGGACGCCATCAAAACATGACCGGGACACCATCCGCCCACCAGCTCTGACGGTGACCCAACGGCGCCCGTCCGCCTATTAGTTTTGCAAGACCCCATAGCATGGCTATTGGGGAATTAAACTACGATGGCCGCGGTAAAGTTTCCAAAAGCAAACGTTAAAATACAGCAAGTAGACTAGCTGATAGCACGGGATGACTAGGGGACAACCAGACCACCAAGAAAATACAAAAACATAAGCAGGATCACTAGATAATCCAGGAGGGATAGAAACCATAGGATTCAGGTTCATTGCATGAGCAATGGCATTCACTGTTAAGAACCTCCCCCGCTTGCACCATTAGGCGGGGCAAATGGGCAGGTAGGAATTAGCACGTGTAGGTGAAGTGTTTATATAATGTATCTGAGCATGAGGTGCGGAGCTCATTCGAGGGAAAACAACAAGGAACAATTGGCACCTAAATGTGTGAAGAAAGGTACTTGGCTAAAATGCTGGGTGATGAAAAAGTATGGAGATGGCCTCAGAGACCCACTCCATCTTCACGAAGGGTGCGCTCTTGCTTGATCGAGGCCTGAAGAGTGAAGAGCTGGAGTTGGCATTAGCAAATGGAGATGTTGAAAATGAAGTGATCACCAAGGATCAATGAAGGCTGATGGGGTTGGAGATCAGACCATAGTCTTGGGACGGTGGAAGCAAAGTGGTCCATTTCCGGATTGGCGTTACATCGGTATACCGGAATGCCTGGTATTGACAACAAGGACAGCAATCTATGTGGCTTTGTCACATGATACATGGCGGAGGAGGAGGTGGTGGCATTAAAGGTCAGCAAGAATTCGCTGAAAAGATTGAACAAATTACCCAAAGGATTGCAAAATGCGAAAGAAGCTGGGATGAAGCAAAGCATGTTGATAAAGATCCTGAAGGCAGCCCAAAAGCTGCATGATGAGAGGATCAAGATCGCAGAGACTGCCAAAAGGAGGTTGGAGAAGGGCAGTGAGCTAAACAAGCTCGAGGAATTGGCCCGTAAGGTTGTAAATAAGGGCCAAGAATGAGCTCTCCCAGGGTATTGGATGATGAGGAAGGAAGGGAATAGATTGGGAAGAATCATTGGCTGGTCAGATGGGATCAAAATACGCAATACCATTGGCTGGAACATGAGGATGCCCCATCCAATGAGTCTCAAAGATTGGGCAACTTGCCAAAGGGATGAGCCAACAATGAACCAGCATGGGCAAAAGATTTCTTGGGATCAAATGAGTTGGCAACAAGCTGGCAACAAGACCATATAGGATGAGGGATTGGTGAAATGTACAAAGACTTAAGGAAGGGAATAGAGACGATCAATTTAATATTGCACTGCACAAAATTTTGGTGAATCAGTTTAGCCGAACAAATTGCGGGGTAGTGGATACCCCATTTGGGGAAATTGACAGAAGGTTTCTTTTGAAAGGCAGTTGGTATCGTAGGAAAAAGTAGTGCCAAACTGATACGGTGTTCAAGAATCAGAAGTCTCAACTTCTTTTGAGATATTGCCTTTGAGATGTGTAAGGAATTAAACATGTCAGAAAATGCTATATATATATTCTTTTTAGTAACATACTAACATACAATGTTCTATCATCAACTGCTAAAAATTAGCAAACAAACACTGTGAAACACGGGCCTCCACAATGTCCCACTCTCCAACAAAAGCCCAACACATCAATGTGGGAAAAACAACTGGTGCTGGCGGTTGTCGCCACGAAGCAACCTGAATAAGTTCGTCCTCTTTGTTGGACTCGCGTCCTGCCCTGCCTCAATCTCTTTGGGGTTGGTGGAGCTCCGTTGGATTCGTCCCAGCTCGCCAAAAGCCTCCCAGAGTTCAGTTGCAGACAGGCCGAATTATCATGTGCACAAGCGCTACACCCATTCTACCCTTCCCATAATGTGCATAGAAACAGAAAACCAGCTCTGGCTGCTTCTTTGGTTGTTTATCAGGGGGGCGCATATCTCATAGCCCATCCCCTCTCGTACTATGTACAAATGGATTGATTCAAATACTCATACATGAGGTGGATGAGGAATAAATAAACCACATCGCATGTTCCAAAGTGTCACATATAATATCGCGATGCTTGAGGAGTCTCTGGCTGAATTTGACTTTCACCGAAAGTTCCTGTGATAATTTGGATTCTTTCTGACCTGTACAGTAGTGCATTCTTTACCAACTGACATGGAGCAGTCAGTCTGGACTGGACCCTTTTTTCTGTCACAGGCGTCTGAGTGAAGCATTGGCCAGTTTCGCCAGCTCCTTGCCAACACAACTTCTAAGTTCTAAGTACTGTCAAGATGCGCTCCACACATTCGCACAAGGAGGACATGTCCTCGTCTGGACCCTCTCGCAAGGCAATCAGGGCACGTTCCTTGCTTGGTATCTCAGAATCATGGCTAAACAGCACTGGGTTGACACTCGCAGAAAGCTTGCGAAAGCTCTGATTGGACACTGACTGAAATATTCATGAGTTCAGACAAGAAATCCTCAGGAACTTCTCCATGCTTCAACACCGATCCTCCCCCGCCAGGTCTTAACAGTCTCAACACCAAGCAGCTCCCTCATCACCTCGTTCAGAAACAAAACCCAAAAGCTCCACGGCCACTTTGCAAACCTCTAGGTCACTGTGCGCAAGATACTCGAGCCTTGGTGCGGCGGTGTCTTGTCAGATTGCAAACGCCTCTGGAAGCAGCTCCAAAGACCCATCCCCCAAGCAAAGCAATGCGCAGATCGCTTCTGTCAATGCAATTTGCACCCAGATGCAACATCTCTTGCAGCTCTCGATCCCCGCGAAGAGACATCTTGCGAAGCGCCTGGGAAAGCGAAGTCAGTAGGCCGCGGCCGCAGTAGGGCAAAAATGCGTTGCAAATTGCTCTGGATCCCCCACCTGCGCTGCTGCATTGGACACGGAGATGTCTTCATCAGCCAGTCGTGCGCCAGCAGCCCTGGCAGCCTTCGAGATCCCACGCCTCAGGTTTTGGAGAATTGACTCGACTCGTCGACTCGCAAAGCCTGTGGGATGTGCCTGTATGTCACACAAAAAAAAAACAAACTCCAAATACAATATGAGGACATCAAAAAATGCAAATCTGTGATTGGTTCATTCGTGTTCAATTCACGTCTTCAGAAAAGTGTCCCTACCAAGCGCGGCAGCACCAGCAGTACCTCACAACGCAGCTCGGAGCTTTTGGCCTGCTGTAGAAGCGAAATCAAAGCGTAGAGCGCCTGGTCGCAGCTCTGACCTGGGGAAAGCATTTGGAGCGATTCAATTGCGCAGTGAATAGCTTCATTGAATCTAAAGCTGTCTGTCAAGTCAAAGTGAACGAATCTAAATGTAAGAATTCTTGCGACATCAGCTCAAAGCCTAGGTGTTGTAAAAGGTTGAATCCAAAGTCTCCGTTGGGAGTTGTGAAGACTCGCAGTGCCAGCCTGCCCTAAGCGGGGGCCGAGGCTGGTGCATACAAGATACGGGGAAATGCCCAAAATAGGCACGTCAGCAGAGACCAAGCAAACTTCTCTGCACCTTTTGTCTGGCCAATTTTTGATATACGCCAACAATCAGCAGGAACACCCCAAAGGGCTTGTCGCATTGAGACTCAGCGAAACTGTGACACGATCTTGACAACCAAGGCAGGGTGGCTCGCTTTGCCAGTCGTCATGTTGACGTGCGCTAATTTTACAAGTCTAGATGGCTTTCTGCCACTTTTAACGAGTGCTCAATGAGCGGGCAAGCACCACTCTGCGTAAAGCCCAACCCCTTTCCACCCTTAACGGCATGAGAACGACAAAACTAAACCTAACCCGTTGTCGAAACCGCCCTTAGCCATGACCTTTCTCAAGGTGGAGTCATCATTGGATTGAGCATTTAGAAGGCCACCAAACATTGGTTTCATGCAACTGTGGACCCAGCACATCCTGCTCTTTGCCACTTGCTTGATTGAAACTCGTCAAGGCCCAAGGCAATGAAGCTTTTGAGAGCGAACGACATGTTCATTCACCAGGCCAGGCTGATGAATCAATCTTTTGTACATGGGTCTGTGTATTATATATGGATATAGTCTATGAATTTATCGTGTGGTAAGCCTGCACAATCGAGCCAACTCCGTTTAAAGAACTCACATCATTCATGAATGATCACAGCGTTGGGCCCGAAGATGTTGCCACGCCACCGAGCAAACGGGAAGAATACGTGGGATCGATCGCATCATTGCTAGAATACCATATGGAATCAATATGAAGCAATATGAATCAACGATGCCGATGCCTGAAAAAGGGTCACAAGAGTGCCACGACGTTTTGAAGCACTGTTGACCAGGAAGCTTTAGCGAAGCAAGCTGAGAGCATCTGTCAGAAATATCGAGAGTACGGACGTGAGAAATGCAAAGGGACAGGACAAGGGCTGCAGGCACCTGTTCCAGTCCCCGAGGCTTCATGCACCCCCGGACAATTTGCATCTTTTGGCAAGACAGTATTGGGCTGAACCATGTGGAAGCCTCCTTGGAGTGCGAAAGCGAAGTGCTAGCAGCGTTCAAGGCCGACCGCTCTGATTGCCCACAGCAAATGAATATCGTGATATCGTGTATATTCTGCAATCACAAGCCATTGCAAGCTGGGCTAAACAGGTGTCCCTCCAGACGGAGGGTTCCCCGAAGACGATTGACTTCCAATACTTTTGACAAGGGAGTGCAATAAGCATGCTTGAAACCCGTTGAACAGCTTCGTGGATAGATTTCTTTGGTCACGTCTTTTTGGCTTCATGAAGGATTCGCCGGTGTCTTCGATGGTTGCTTTGTGTTTGGTTCTGTTGTTGCGGCTGTCTGGTCGGTCACAGGAGGTTTGTTTTCGGGGTCCCTTGCTACCTTCATCTACCTTCTTTCCAGGTCGCCTGTGTACTTAGACTCCTTGATCGATTTGGGGTGCCACTTCAGGCAGGGGGCTTTAGGTCAAGAATTTGTGAACTTTTTGTTGGATCCGAATTGTTTCCTGCTCGTGTCTCGAACACTTTCATTAAATGTTCTGATCATGGCTGAGAGTGTGGTCAGAATATGTTGTATGAAAAGGCTGATTCACAGAAGCGTGGATGTCGGGAAGGGTCGCAAAACATCGCAAACACTGTGGGGTTGTAGGCAAAAACAAGCCTTCAGTTCATACGCTTCTAGTTGGAAACACAACTCTGCGGCGGAATTGAGCTTCTGCACCATAACATGTACGAGCATCACAGCTGGCAACTGTCAACTTCAGACTGCGCTGATGTTTCGAATCCGTCTTGAGTGGCACGAAGACAGTTTTTGAGACTTGATGCTTTTCCCAGGCAGGCTCAGGGTACAAGAGTGTTTCTTGACAGCTGAATGATGCTGATGATCGAAAAACCTCCCGTTTGCAGCCACAGGTGTGCACCGTGCTTTCTTCTTTATCTGCATCCTTTGCATCTCGTGCATCCACCTTGGGCTCTTTGCACTTTGTTTTGCACCTCGTTCCCCAAGTCCGACACAGCTTCAGAGCTGGGGTACCATAAAGCGCATAATTAAAAAAACACAAGACATGTTGCGAGTTCAAATCTAGAGTATATAGTATAACATTACATGGAACTATATTGTATGTTTAGAAGTTTAGATATAAATATATCAGGTTTATAATGTTTAATCTATGTATTTACGTCTACTATAATATATATATATATATAATTTATATAGAAGGAAATATGTTGGCCGATAAATAGAAAGTAGGAGCAGTGGCTCTACACAACAAGCACCTGGTTCTGGCGGCCAAAGGCCACCAATGGCGCGCACAGCAGCACATGCCACCTTGAGCTCAAACGAAACTGAGAAGACCAGGCTCTGGAGCAACATACCGAAAGCCTAAAGCATAATGAAGTGGGAAAAAGGATTGCGTTCTCCCGTATGGAAGGTGTTGCCTCTTCCTCGCAAATGTGCGTAAGCCACAGGTTCAAATCTGCCGTAAATAGGGCAATGATGTGGCAGCAAATTAAAGGAGCTATTAGGAGAAGCAGCTGGAATGTAGTTGTTACTTCACCGTCCACCATTAAAGCAGCAACGAACTCCCCCCAGTGGCAAATCAGGAATGAAGGAGGACCCGAAGAGGCTCAAAAGCTTGACGCAAGGCACCTGCTCGTCCTTGTCATCCAAGGCCGCAGCTGCAGCTTGCATACCTTGAAAGCACGTCGGTGCTTTTGGGAAGGCAAACGACATCATGTCAAGTGTGTCCGGACAGCATCTTGTTCCCTGGCCTTCACCACCAAAGCGTTCCAGCTGGCCAAGCAAATTCATGGCTTCAAGGCGTGCCTGAAATTGAAAAACGAAATGCAATGGCCAGTTTCTTGAAGACGGCGGGAAGTTGATCAGTGTGAACCCCTTCAGGCAGGTAGGAGTGCTCATGCCAAGGACGTTGAACAAAGGTTCTCTCTCCACCTGCCTGGCCTCTGGCCACTCGCTTCTAGCTGCCTTTGCTCACCAAAAACAAGAAGCAAGCAAAAGGACCACTTTGTCACACTTCAAATCAGGTTTCATCAAACATGTGCTTGGCTCAAATTTGGATGTGTTTGTTTTCAGGAAGCAAACAATTTATATATGTTGAAGTTAACAAAAAGTAACTGTTTCAGTCCGATTGGACTATAAAGCATTATGAGTTCTATTGAACTCCCAAAACTATATGAATCCAAGCGGAACGCATGATCAGTCTGATTCTACAAATCTGTCTTGTTCTCTCCCGATCGAAGTTGCCAGCCGAGCCAGCTCCGCAATGAGCCATGGCGATGTGCCCCGTGGCCCTGCGCAGGTGCGGATGGCCTGAACCGCATGTGTCCGCAAGGAACCTGGGACTTGGTAGAGGTGAAGCAATCGTCTGGACGGCCGGTGGAGGACCTAAATCTGAAAGTCTCGCTTGGAATGAACATTTGTTGGGTGCTCACAAGGGGCTCTCCTCTGCCAGGGCACAACTGTAGCGTTCATCCAAAGCGAGCAGGGCAGCTCCTTAGGGAGGGTTGGCAAGCCTCTGTAAGCTGTTGAATTTCGGCACAGGGCGGTGTGGCAGGTATTGATCGTGCGAATTGTCTGAACCAGCGACTTCTCCCAAAGTAAAGCCGAGCTTCGAGCCACTTCAACATCGTTCGGCACAGCGATTGCCTCAAAACTTGGATGTTGATTGTGCAAAAAGAGCACTGTCTCCACTAGTTTCTTATGCCCAAGTGCCACTTCACGACCAATCAAAACGTTTCACTACCATTCAAGCACACCCCTTTACCATAAGTGGAAACATAGCAAGCGGGAGACGAAACCAAATCACCTGCAAGACGCCCCACCAAAGAAGACACGGCACTTCGTTGCCAGCAGAAATGGATACGCCATTTCACCGCTAGTCTATATGCTAATCGCTTCACCCTGCTTGGCAGAGTGATCTCCAAGGTGTCAATCGTGTGCCCCCACATAAACACGCACAAAGTGCAGCACAACAGCAACAGTCGTTCACACCAGCACACCAGCAACCTGTTGGCCTCGCGTCATGCACAACTATCCGCACAAGTCACGCATGTACTTTGCCAAACCGTGCGCGGCGCACGAAGCGCAGCGGGCAACAACTTCCTTACCATCGCGCTGAGCAATTTAGAGCGGCAATTTTCCACCTCCCAAATTGCACAGTGCATGAGGAAAATTGAATTGACGATTAGGTGTCGGTACCAGAGTACCCCTGAAAAATGCCAAGTGACTATATCCAAAAGATTCCAAAAGTATTATCACAAAATGATCAAAACACAACTAGACCGAGACACCGTCAAACCTTTGACGGTCTTTGCCTCCCGGCTGTAGATGAGGATGATGAGGATGTAGAAGGAGGACAGAGAAGAGGACGTGGAGTTTCCAAGGGGAAGCCCAGGTTGCTTGGAAATTGTTTCGTGGCCAGCTGGCTGCAAACCGGCAACAAGTTCACTGAACCTTGACATGTTTGGAGTGATCAGTGATCACAGCCAATTCTACAAGCTTTTCGTGACGAATGGACACATTCTTTTAAGATGCTCGCTCGCGCTTCCCATCGGGGTAGGCACCGTCACGAGCGCAACTTCACACCCTGCCTTTGCACGGGCACTCCATTGAAAACGCGACTGCGCACACAATCCGTTCTGTTCACTTCTCAGCGCACGTACTCGATCACACGTATGACTCGCGGCCTGTTCCACCTGTTCAAATCAATCCTTTGCTCTCATCTGCCCATTGCCTGGACGGCGCCCATCTCTTCCTGGCAATGAGCACCTCAATTAGTCCCAGGAATTTCCGCTGATTGCCCGGAGCAACATCACCACTATGACATACTATGACACGTAGCATCAAGGACACCAACGCCATGATCCAAACGATTTGCTCCATCGCTTCAAAACCTGCTCATGAAATTAGAAGGCCGTGCACGCTAGCGTCTTCCACCAGCACCCGTTGGCTGGGCTGCATCGTGGGATTGTCAACTGAAACAGGACAAAACATGCACATGGACCCATGGAGCCCGTTCGTACTATTGCAAAATGCATCCACGAGCAGCCATGAACGCCGCCAAAGTGTTTCACTGGCTTTGGGAAGTTGGTTTGCGCGCAGAGTCCGTAGATTTCGGGTCACCTACACAATGATCTACTGAATAACCTGGAGCTGCTCTGTTTATCATTGCATCAGCTTCAACCTGGCCTTGTACCTGTGGACGCATTATATTTGCAATTGCTCATACCCACACAAACCCACGCAACAGGGGGCCCCCCTCATAGTGATAGATTCACGTGGTAGGCAATTCTGCAACTCCAGCTGGTGCACTCTCTCAAAGCTCTTGCTTGAAGAAGTCTTTCCAAGTCTTTTCAATCTGTACAAGAAGTACTCTTGCACTCGCCACATCTAGTGGACACAAAGACTTGCTTGAGAGACGCAAGCAACGCAACAAAATTGCCTGTAGGATGCTGCCAGCAGCGAGACGCAGTTCCCGTCCGGCCGTAGTGTCCTGCAAAGGTCCAGAATAGCACAGCCTACTGAATGCCAGAGTGAAGGATATATAAGGTAGAAGGTAGGGTTAAGTTAAAGGCAATTAACCTATATTAACCTCCATAGTCCGGGTAAAGGTCGGTATCGCTGGGGTGGAACTTCCAGCTCACAACTCACAACACACGACGCCATGACAAGGTATACAACCTCATGCCATGCCAAACAGTTGTCAGTTGTGGGAAGTACAGCTCACACTTTCAATCCAAGGGCCATTTAGAATTTCTGAGGTGATCTGTCACTACCCGCTCTATTGCTCTTCACTAAATAAAGTCACAACAACCCATATGCTACAGTGGGCTTCACGGTTAAACCAAAACCACGTTGCGTCTCTTGGCACGAAAGATTGAAATGTTGCGCTCGTCATTTCTCATGGCATACATGATTATGTATATAAATATATATATATACACCCGTAAACAATGTGAGAACTTCCGTGCAAATTCTGCAATGCAGCTTCTCTTACGGCTTTGTTTCGATCTTAACTGCTGGACTTTCTATTTTACTCCTGCAGGATGTTGAAGGCAACGGACCTAAGTCCAACCGTTTGGCAAAGCTAATGCAGTAACTTGCGAATTTGGACAGCAGAATGAAGCATATCTCGACAGGCACTGTGGCCTGGGAAGTCAGTGCAAGAAAGGATTGTTGACAACTCTGGCAAGACTATGACAACGGGCGAATGTCATACAAAATCGGCCTGTGTGGGACAAAAACTTAAAATTTGAAGGTGAACGTCGGGGTCTTGCCTCAAGACTTCAAGAATAGTAAATGTCTTGCAATTCGGAACCTTTAAGCACGGCAAAGCTTCACCCAACCTCTAGTCGGAACTGGGAACCTTGGAACCTGAAATACAGTACATTGTCCCTTTTGCTTGGCCCTTCGCAACATGGGGTAAAACCTAACACAAGTTGCTCGCCAAGGCTTCGACAGGGCTTCATCATGAGCGTCTCGACGACTGACCTCAACTGCCACTCTCAATCGACGACGACTGACCTCAAACAGTCGTCGTAGCTCAGTCAGGACCTGGGAATTAGTTCGCGGCGCTCCAATGTTTAATCCCACAACCAAACCGAGTACAGAGTAGAAAATGCCTCAAAGAAACCTCCTTCAGAGCCTGAATGGAGCACAATCGCAATTCCTCAACTGCAACATCTTCCAGCGCTACCTTCTGCAAAAGGCCCCGAACTGCCTGCCAACCTCGCAAGGTCTGTTGTGATCACGCTATAGTATCATTCAGCTTAAATGGCTTAAATTGAATCTTGGTCCTGCCTGGCCACCCTCCAGGGAAAGCTGGCACCAAGTTTCGTAAAGCTTGCACTGCAACCAAGCGGAGCTCCACCTGCGTGTCTCCTGCATGTTAAGAACTTGCAGAATAGCAGCGCAGCAATTCCATGTCCAAAATGGTTTATGTAGCACCTGCATCTTACAAACTTCGTTGCACATCCTTTCGTTGTCCTGAGAATCCACTCTCTTCTGGCTGCAGCAAAGCAGCAATCATGGGAATCTTGGAATCATCACCTGTGCACAGTCTTCTGCAGTTGCTCACTTTTTCTCCTCAGTTTCTCAGTGAGCCTGTCTTGGCTGCTCTTTGGATTGCGCTGATCGTCTCCTCGGAGCTCAACTCTGCATCCACAGTCCGCTGCCGCGCTCCCAGCTCTGTCAAGAGCTCTGCAGCAAATCGAGCCCCATGTGGCCCAGCCCCCACAAAAAGACTGCGGGCCTCGGAAAGTTTGATCAATCGAGAGCTCAAGGAGCGTAGGCTCCTATGTGTTAATATGTTCCTATTGTGCAAAAAATGTTGCCCTTCGCCCTTACCAGAGCTAGAAACCGCTGTGATTATGTAAAATGCTTTGCTGAAATAGGGGCACACGGCTTCCATAACATACTGCATTCCTTGTATCGAGGTTCTCCTTGCCGCTTCCTCTCAAGGCTGTTTCGGTAAATCCAAGGCGCTACAGGCAAACATGAGTTGAAGGGCTGGTGCAGTTTGAGTTCTAACCGTGAGCGTGCCCAAGACATTGGATAGATAAGTCATGTCTAAACTTCATTAAACCTGGTGGGTTCGTGCGGGCGTTCGCGACTGCGCTCTCGTTGTGGTGCCGTGAACATTTTTGGACTTGGTAATCACTTTTCGTGGCAGTCGCAATGGTCAGCGCATGCTCAAAGGATAAAGATTTCGTGGGCACACACAAAACCATCGTCTCACGTCAATGCTGCAGAAATTGCCTGCAAAAGCCTTTGGGAAGAACCCAACATGGGTGGCATTCATTAGTATACAACAGCTTGGCTGCCCAGCTGAGACTCAGCTCCGGACCACCTCCGTACAGGTGGCATCACTGACCCCCGCACGACACAAAGGGCAAAGCTGCTGGATCTGAAATGAAGATGCCAAGCAAAGCGAATGGTACTTGTGGCCGCAGTCCTTGAGATGATGAGATGCAATCTTAATCAACACAATTAACATAATGATTGTTATTCAGCCACTGCCATTGCTCAATGAAAAGAGTATATTGCACGACCGGCCTTAGCTCATCTGGTTCAGTTTCTTCGTGTTTGCTGGTATTCTGCATTTGTTTCTGCATGTTTTTGCCAAAGGACTAGCTGAAAGCATCTGGCTCGGCTTAGCTCGCTCAAGCATACTGCGCAAAGCTCTTCGCTTGGCTCCGGCCTTTCAAGCATGAAAGCTCAGCCAGTCTTGCAATGCATGTGCAGGAGTTTGATGCTTGAAAGGTGGGTATACTCCTTCAGCCAAAAAACATCCTTTCCCTTGATTCTGGAGTCTTGAAACTGATTGATACGTTTGACATTTTGGACAAATCCAGGTGAATTGCCCTGGAATTGGGATCTGTCCGATCCTGTGAAGCTCCAGGCCTTTCCGCTCGATCTTGGAGAGGAAAGCTGCCCTCTGCCAGCAGCCTCACTTCTTCTCGTCGGGCAAGTGTCGCACCCATGGCATCAAGAAGAGTCTTGGCCCAGCATCATGATGATGTCACAACAACACGCTGTGCCACATGATGATCCTTCATTGATCTTTAGACCACCTTTAAAATCCCTGGTGTCAGACTCAGCCAATCAAAAATTCCTACTAGCAAAACAGTTTTCTAAACGTGTTCAAGCTTGGCTCAGACACACTTCCACAGCAGTCGTGGTTTAGCGTGTTTCCCGTGGTTTAGAGTGCTTCCGTTAGAAGTGAACTTTTCGGACAGCGGTGCGACGAGGACGGAACAACGTCCTACCTCAAAAAAAGGGTCAAGATTTCTGTAGGTTGCTGCGCGATGGTTCCGTGCAACAAATAAAATACACAAGAAGAAACCATTTCAATTGGAACTCCACGTGCCACCTCTGAAGCTTGGTCGATGCATAGCACAGCAGTTCCAACCTCATACAATCTCAAAGTTCTGGTATAAGCAGTAGCAAGTTCACTGCCAAATCTGTTTCAAAGCAGTTCCTGCAAAACAAAAACCATTGGACAAAAGGTCACTTGTTTGATAGTTGGCACGTGCATCGGCCTGAATTTTCATGGAGGTGTCCAATACCTCTTGCTTGCGTGTTCGTGAGAGAGGACCCCCACCATAAAGCGCTCGCTGAGTTTCGTCGTTGTGGTGCTTGGAGGTGTCTCACAGGAAGAAAGGCATTCTTCGGACCTTCTGCTTTCCCTCACAGCCTTAATTACGCTTGTGAAACATCGGAAACATGTCCAAAGCTGTCCTCGTCTACACGAATCAGATGCCAAAGGCGCAACTCGCTGCCAGCCTGAAATTTGACGTTCAGATAGAAGTGCGTCCCATTTTTTCTGGCATTTGTTGGAATGTGTACTTTGATAATTAAATTTACAATTGTTTGCGCCGTGCTCGCAAAATGTGCATATCTTGCTTGATTGGCTCGGAGTGCGCTGCAAAAGGAAGGCTGGCGAACACATGAAACACAAAACAAAAGCTTCTCCAAAGTAATCAACGAATGTCAACGAACGCGTCAACTTCGCCCTGGTCCCTGCACCTCACCTCCAGGACCGGGAGATGTCGCCCGACACATGGCATGGTGTCTGTCACACTTCTTAGAGGCTAGCTCCTCAACCATCTACTTCAGAACTCTTTGTGAATCCTCTGCGCCGCATGGCCCCGGTCCATCTTGCATGAGTTTTGGGGCCCACTACGGCCACCGTCCCCTTCGAACTTCGCCGAGCCCTCAAATCTCTTGCGCAGCCTGTCTCAAGTCGCGGGGCGACTTCCTATGCGCGGGCGCCTCCGGCAGAGCACTCGGAGCCGGCCATTCCCTCTCTTGACTCATCACGTTAAACCAACGCCCCCTTGCACTCATGTGATGCAGCATCAGAGGGCTTCCATTTGACTCTTCCGTCCACTCCGCTGCGGTCAGCTGGGGCCTGGGTTTGGGGTTGCTCGATGAACTTCTCCGGCGCTCGTGCATCAGTCCGCCCTCGCGCGTCTGCCATCCAGGCCGCAGCCCGTCTACGCCACCCGCAGCTCCAAACAAGAAACACCAGCATTCAAACTAGGGTAGAGGTGCTTGAGCCTAACTTGGCATCACCCCACCTGCACCCTTCACTTTGCTATTCCTTTGCTTGTCAACTATGTTTCTCAAATATACCAGGAACCCGGGATCAGAATAATACTTCTTGCGCACGACGGATCGTTTTTGACGTGGGTTGCCATTGAGCAAACACTGAAGCGCGCCAGGCCCAAGTCAATCTCCCTCTCCCGGACACTCGTGAGCGCATCTCACTTGCACAACTTGCGCACGCCACGACCCACCATCGGCGAATAAAATTGGCAGGCAGGGGCATGCCTTCCACCTGAGGACAAATTTTTGAAGAGGAAGGGGCCGTTCCACTGTAGCGCGCCTTCTGTGCGTGAGCACGACGGCAAATTTTACAGGACCGATTCCCGATGGGTCTTTTGTGAGCCGTCCGCTGGTAGAGAAGGGGCCATTCCAACGTAGCATGTCTTCTGCGAGGGGCTCGATCCAATGTAGCATAATTATAACCTCTTGTGAGCCACGCGAAGGACAATTTTACGGGAGACAGGAGCTGTTGCAACGTAGCGTACCTCTTGCGAACCGGTACAGGGAGAATTTAGAAGAGGGAGGAGACGTTCTGATGTAGCCATATAGCATACCTTTTGGAACCCGACGTTAAGAATTTAGAAGAGGAAGGAACTGTTCGTTTGTTCAGGAAGGACCTACTCCAATGTTGCATACATTTTGTGAGCCATCCGCGGGTAAAACTTACAGGAAGAAATCCGAGAAAACGAAAGAACCAAGGTCCGAAACCCACCATAACCGACCCCAAAGAAAACCTAAAGAAGTGAAACCCCAAGGCCAAACCCAATGACATCCTAAAAACAAAAAATTTGAGCCAAACCCAAAGAAGCCCTAAGGTCCCTGCGTTCTCCTCCTCTTCCCCCTCTCCTCTCTACGCTCTTCCCCTCGCCCTTCTTCCTCTCCCTCTCCCATTCCCTCTCCTCTCCACAGGCAGCGCGTCACCATGGCGAGCGAAACTGTGGCCGAACTGAAGCAGGGCCATTCCAGTGTAGCGTTCCTTTAGGTGAGCAACATCTATACTCTATATCCATGGCTCTTTGACGACGCCTTCACTTCCTCCCCCTCTGTCCTGCGGAGCCCTTGTAAGGGGTGGAAAGAACGTGCGCATACAACGCGACGACGCACACAATAATTGCCGGCTTCGGCGTTTTTCTCCTCTCAGGGCCCGGGCCTAGGGCGGAATGTTTGGAGGGCAATGGGTCTTCAGCGGCGCAAGAGCGACATTGAAATCTGTACTTGAAGCAGCTACAGAACGACCTAGTGAGGGCCTTACTCAACAAACTTGCAACCCATGGATGGGTGAAGGTCTTTTGTTGGATCTTTTTCCTGCAAATTGTAACTTGTGTGGAATGTTCCGGGCGCTTTAGAAGCAGAAGGAGCGGGGACCGAGCGAGTGTCCGACCAATGTTTTCAGCACTGTCTCCATCAACTTTGCGCCGTTTGCAAAATCAAACTTCAGCTTTGTCCTCAATTAGCGACGGCCGGCGGAGGTTTTCACATCTAGCAGCACGACATCAGCCATGAGGAACTTGCAGTTCTCTTGAAACTTCTTCTGCTGGGTCGAGGAGGCTTCCAGTGTCCCAGCTCCAAAACGCCTCACTGTCCTCTGCCAAATAACAAAACCATACACTGCCGCGGGCACTCTGATCATAGCGGCCTGAGGCTGGCCAGGAATTCCAATTGAGGCGTCGTGGCAAGGAGGGTCTGGCTTCGTCGGACCGGCCAAACCCACTGCTGACAAGCTCAAATTTGCTCCAGCGGGCCGGAGTATACCCGCCAAGCTTTGGCTTTCCATCGACGCTGAAAATCCTATTTTCCTGTTCAGGCAAATTTTCCGGCATTGACACCACCGGGAAATTTGCCTTAAGGGCATGCTCTTCGATGTGGCCACAGTTGACGGCACGACCACAAGCTTCTATTGGGCTCCTATCAGCTGGGCATCTTCAGCAGCAAGTGGCGGTGCTTTTTTTCTGTTAGCTGTGTACGAATTGCTGGGCCACGATGACCCTGACGCTTCGATCTGGCGCCATTGGGAAGTTTCTGGTAGATCTTGCGAACTGTCATCTCTGGGGCGAACTCTTCATCGCCGTCCAGATTCCTGCGCAATTCGCCAAGCAATAAAGTCGTACCTATTGCTGCCATTGTTGGCTTCCACATCAGACGCAGTAAACAATTCTGGGCTTGGTCCTGGGGGCCTCATAAAAGTAGGTACAGTGTTTGGCGTCAAAGCCAAAGATGTCAGCACGGCTTCGGGCAAAGAATACGTGGGCTTGGAATTGGGTCGAGCGCAGCACCCTTCTGTAATCTTCTTCTACATAATTGCTCGGTGGATCATCATCGTTGGCGACAATGACTCTTCCTCCCTCCCTCCCTCCCTCCCTCCCTCCCTCTCTCATGACTTGAGGTCTTGGTGCGTCAGGTTGGCTGGGTCATCACCAGTTTCGGAGGTAGAAGGAGCTTTGGGCGTCGTTGGCATTGGAGTTGGGCGCCAGTGAACTGGCGCTTCAGGGCGTCCTCGAGGTGTTGGAGGTACTTTTTGATGGATATCTTGATCTGAATTTTCTGGCTGGCCATCTTCATTCAGGTGAGGTCAGGTTCTCCCTCCTTCTCCACATTGATGAAGCCAAGCCTCTCACTGTCATATCGAAGTCATTGTTTGGTTCGAAGCAATTTTTTTGAATAGCCTCAAGTCCCTGCTGCTCAAGGTTACCCATCTTGGCTCTTGTCGCATTTCCACAATTGATTCACTCGTCAAGGGGCGCCACATTGTATCCACGTTGAAAGGCCTCAAAACAGGGTCCAACCTTGGCTAAATAGCCATGCTTTCTTCGTCGCCACATGCAGACTGGCTCACCCGGCTCATCCTCATGCAAGTTGCGGTCTTCTCTGGGCCTGCATGGTCGGGCTCGCAAAGCTCGAATTCATTTTTTCCATCAACTTCTGCCAGAGCACGTCGGGCAGCTGCATGAGCTGGTAGTTCGTGAGGACAGCGCATGTCCTTTGAGACCGTTGCGTCGTGGCAAGCTATTAATCCCAGTCAATCTGGTAGCCTAAGAAGAGGTCAATGTCCAACATGTTCAAGATAAAGACCTAGTGAGAGTTGGTACCAAAGACCAACGAAAGAGTAGCGGAAGAAGAGGTCAAAGACCAAGCCAGCAAAGTGACATCAGACCTGGGGCTCTAAGACCCTAAGCAAACAAGTACTTGAAAGTGAAGGCAGCCTTCGCCAACACAAAGACGAAGTCCAGAATCGTCATTCCGGCTCCACTACCACTGAAGAACCGCGGAGTGGCGGAGGGCAAACCTTCCACGCGCGTATTGAGGGTGTGTGAAATGGCCGCAGGGCAAGGCAGGATCAGGGATCAAGCACATCAACTCCACACAGAAGCGAAAGCAAAAGCAAAAGCAGAAGCCAAAGCAAAATACTACTGGAAATGAGCTTTTTGATGCGCCTTGAAAAAATACAAAGAAAAGGTTCCCCCAAGCATAGTGACTGCCAAACTAGAACATTCCGCCTGGTAGGTGGCATGAGCGCGGCCATGGCTGTCAACGTAAAGAGACCTGGCAAGTCCACACAGACAGCCTCCAAGTATTTCCATTCCACTTGCAACGCCAACCAGGCACAGGCAGACTGCACCATCTTCACCTGAGACGCTGTGGAACCCAGCACGATGTTCGGAGAACTGTTGATCCCAATCCTACCCCACTGCGGGCTCCATTCTAAGGGGCCGTATGCACTGCGAGGCCATGGGTGCACGCGGCTGGAAAAGATGCGGGGGCTGCTCGGGAACCCTGTGTTGGGTAACAGGGGTGGGGCGGGCGGTGTTTCACAAAGCTTGCAGCAACCAAGATGCCCCCAGGCACTTCACTGTAGCTGAAGCCTCAAGCAACATGAGTGATGAGTCATGCAAGGGTTAGGGTCAGGTGCCAAGCCACCAAACTACCGAACGCGGGGAGAACAGAGGAGAAAGGTTTTGAAGAGGACCGAAGGAAGTTGGACCATCTTCGGTCACCCCCAGACTTGGAGGAGGAGAACTAATAACTAAGACTTGAGAAGTTTGTGGGAGAGACAGGCACAAGCTAAGGATCGATACTCCAACAGAAGCGGGTTTGCGCCCATCCAAAAACATATTGGGCACCTTGTCAGACGAAGGCATTTGACCCAACGCTATTGAGGTGGGCATCAAGACCACCACGACAAAATGGCTAGGGTGTACACCTTTGGAAAGCATGTGAACCTACACAGCGTTCAACGGCAGAAGTTTGAGAAGTTCATGCTGGAGCCCCTGCTGCCAATGGTTTTCGAGAAGGGACGTGCCTCTCAGAAGATTCAACGCCTCACCGAAGAAGAGAAGTGTGGAGCTCAAAACTGGCTAAGCAAGGAGGGTCGTCCAAATACCTCAGGACCATCCAGCCTAATAATGGCATCAAGATGTGGCTCAGCTCAACCAGGTGGTCAAACGCCCCAAAGAGAATGCCACGGTGGCTCTCCACATCCAGCCACTGCAGAGAATGAAGCCGACGCTTCCTTGGCCAACAATGGATGTCACTCCCAAGGAGCAGCTGGCGTTGGCACGTGAGAGAGAACTTCAGGGCGGTGGAGTGGCAAACTTCAAATCAATATGCGCTATGGTCCTGCTGAAGGAGACGCTACTCGCGCAAAAGCCCTGAACAAGAGCTGCGCTGGCGGCGGTAGACGTTGCTCTACGACTTCCTCTCCAAGGACACGGTAGGAGGCCAGGACAATCGAGATCCAGATAATAATCCGACAAGCAGCTGCATGGCGAAGTGAAGTGGGTAGAATTAGAACACTTGGCAACGCTATCCGATGGTCTCACGAAGGTTCAGGGCAGCAACGAAGCCCAGAATGCACAGCATTCGCCTGACTCAAGAGGCAATGAAGCTGAGGAGTCTGCCAAACTGGCTGGGCGGTGGATTGGGATCACCTGGCCAAAGACGCACCTCCACCTCCTCGAAAGACCCACGCTAGGACACAGGTCGGTTCTTGGGTCTGGGTGGCCAAGATAACCTACTGGGGCGTTCGTTTGTTCTGTTTTGTTGGGCCCGATGTAGGGCTAACGGAGGGCGCGGGACACTCGTTTAGGGATTAGAGCGGGGGCAGTACCTCCTGCGGGAGGCGCTGCCAGCGCTGCACTCTATATACTCGTGCGGGTGTCAGACACCCTGCAGTAGCCTGACTGTTTTTTCATATGTCCAAGACCGTACACTTAACACCGACCCTGGTTTCCATGCGCGAGCACAACCGCGAATGAAGGCTGGACAGAGCCTGACTTCACCTCGTTAGTGGAAACGTCGCTGTGAAGAGGTCACGTGGGGATTGTGGAACGTTCGTTCGTTTTACTTGCAGTCGGGTGGATGGGGAGGGTCTGCTGAGGGCACTGACCCAGAGGCTCCTGCTACGTTTTGTTCTGTATGGCTAATCTCTCTCTGCTGTATATCCGAACATAGATGGCAAGGCGAAGGTTCTATTTATTTCTTTTGGGGACCACCTCATTCTTTTTTCGGGCTTGCCCTGGTCTGCCACCAAAGCTGAACAGGGTGTTGGTATTGTCCTGAACTCTGTTACGCAAAGGGCCTGGCACGCTGCCGATTCGTTTTGTGAATTTGGAGGCTGCTGCGTGTTAAGTTAAGCTGGTCCTCAACCGACGGGTTGTTGATATCATCTCTGCTTACGCTCCCACTTTTCATTCCGAAGAGGCTGTCAAAGACCGCTTCTATGCCGATCTGACTCGCATGCTCCGCTCCGTCCCGGCGTCCGAACAAGTGTTTGTTTTCGGAGATTTCAACGCCCGAGTGGGGCGCCCTGCGGCTTCGGAGCTGCATGGTCAGACTGACGAAGGGTTCCTCAACGAGAACCTCATCCTAGGCCCCTATAGTCTTCATCACACCATCTCCAATGGAGAACGCTTGCTTGCCTTGTGTGAGAGTGCACCTACAGGCAAACTTCGAGTGATGAGCATTTTCCCGCATTAGCATTATGGTACCTGGTTTCATAATAAATCCCGCTGCTGGTTTCAGATCGATCATGCGTTGGCTGCCGGACGTTCTGCGCGCCGTGTTATGGACGTCTGTGTCAAACCGGGTATTGCCTTCAACACCGATCACCGCTGTGTCAAAGTCATCCACCTTCGTACCGAGGTCGGCCTGTCTCACGCCTGCGTTGTCCGGCTGAGCCGCGCAAACTCCCCCCGCTTGCCGTCCATCGTCTTGCCGACCCGACCGCGGTAGATGCGGTCAATGCCTGTCTGGGCGACTTCCTCGAAGATGACCTGGTGGATGATTATCCCTCCTGTGCGACTATGCCCTCCGCCGGGCGGCTGAGCATTTTGTCGGCTTTCGCTCCTCTCTGCCGGCCGGAGTGGAAGCTTGAACAAATCAGCCGCGTCCGCGCCGCTGCATTCTTGGCTTGGGCGCAGGGTGGCGCTAAAGCCTCCTGTAAACGCGCGGTCGCCGCTCTCTTAAACAAGTGGTGGGCAACCAAGGCTAGCTCCATTCAAGCGTTGGTTGATGCCAAAGAACCTCAGTCTCAGTACGCCGGCTTCCGCGAACTTCGGTCCACGCTTGCCTCCGGTCATCGTCCGTCGCCCAAACTTCGTAAGGCTGCCGGAGAGTGGGTTCGTACTAAGTCTGGTCGTCTGTCCCGCTGGTGTAAGTACTTTGCCGAGCTGCTCAACATCGGCCTTGCTTCTGTCCCTTCTTTTGCTGAAACGTTAGCCGCGGTACGTCGGCTAAAGCCCCGCAAAGCCTGTGGTCCGGATGGGTTGCCCGGCGACGTCTTCCGCCGCCTCACTCTTCCGAACTTGAGGGGTTTCCACGAGCATGTAGCACAAATCTAGCTTCGGGCTGTGGACCTCCCGCTGTCGTGGCAAGCGGGCTACATTGCGCCTTTTTGCCTAACTCTGGCGATCTGGCTGCCTGTTCCAACTGGCAAGGTATCATGCGGTTGTCCGTTCCTGCTAAACTGTTTGCCCGTGTCATTGCGTCACGCCTGCAAGATTATGCGGAGGGTCATGGCCTGCTCCCGGAATGGCAGTGTGGCTTTCGGGCGGGCCGCTCTACCATTGACATGATCTTTACTATCCGGATGATTTTGGAAAGGGCTAACCATCGGAAAGTTCCACTCTTTCTTTTGCTTGTGGACCTTATTAAAGCTTACGACTCGGTCTCGCGCCAGGGCTTGTGGAATGCGCTCAAGGCCAAAGGGGTGCCTCCGGACCTGATGCACCTTATTCGTCGTCATTACTCCCACAAAACGGCCAGGGTTGCCGCTGGGGCGACCTCTCCAAGTACGCCATTCACGAAGCTTGGCCGTTCCAGGAACTCGGGTACGCTGATGGTCTGGCCCACCACACTAGCTTCATTGTCCCACCACACTGGCCCACTTGAGGATCTTCCCACCTCTGATCCGCCAGTTGTTTTCGTTGCTTTCCGCTACCTAGGCAGCCACATTGATTGGCAATTTACCTGTACTCCTGAGATCACGTATCGGTTGGATCAAGCGCGGAAGTCTTTTTGGAAGCTTGCTTCCTCTGTTTGGGATGTCCGTCAGCTGTCACTTGCGACTGAGCTCCGCGTTTACCGCGCCTGTGTCCTCTCGGTCCTTCTGTATGCATGTGAAACTTGGACGGTATGGTTTCGGATGCGCCTCCGCTTGGAAGCGTTGTCTCCGTAAGATTTGCCGGGTCAGCCGGTGGGATCAACAGACCAAAGGTATCTCCAATGAACAAATCCGCAGTTTTCTCGGGGTACATCCATTATGTCCTTAATTGCCAGGCTGCGTGCCCAATGACCGGTTACCCCAACAAGCCTTGCTCTCCTTCCCCCAAGATGTGGGGGTGCACCGAGACCCCGGCCTCCAGGGCGGCAAGAGGCTGTGTGATGCGTTTGCCCACAGTCATAAAGTTGCTGGCATTCCACTGGCGGCCGGTTGGATGCAGCTCGCTAACGAAGATGGCGGCGTCCCCTGGAAGCGCGCAACTCGTATGGCTGGCTTAGCCCGTTTCCACCCGTTCCCAGGTCTGCAGCGCCAGTGCGAGACGCTGAACTGGCTGCCATACAAAAGGCCCCTGTCCCGACCACGGCTAAGGGGCGCGCTGCGGAGCTCTCCCGTGCCTCCGATGAACTTGCACGCTACGCTACGACTCACGACGGTTTCCTCAGTTGGGAACATGCAAAGCCTGGGCCCGTCTACGCCTTGCTCTCCAGACAGCGCATCGTGTCGGAAGTGCTACAGCTCAACGCTCGCTCGTGTTCTGCAAGGGGGCGGTCAAAAAGGACTTGGCCACAGCATGGACTTCCTGGAAATCCACTTCCCGTCCCTCAAGCCTCTGCCTGCTGTCCTTGCTGTCGTTGCGGTTTCGTGGCTGGTTTGCCCTTTGCCTTGGTGGTTTCTTGCGCCTTCCTCGCCGATCGTCCCGGTTGATGCTGTCTGTGGGGTTTCGGGTTGCTGCTTTTGGGTTGTTTTTGTTGGGTTCCCTCTGTTTTTGTTGTTTGTTTGTCTCCCTCCTCTCTGCGCACGACTCTTCATCTCCTCTGCAGGAGTTAGAGTCCACCATCCATCCATCGGAACCTCGCAAGGAACGAACGTCCGGCCACAGCACATTCGACACCTTGCACTGTACACGGACCGACAAATGGAAACAAAACTGACCAAAACTTCAGAAGAAGGTACCAACGAACGACGGGCGGGGGGGGAGAGAGGGGGAAAGTAGACAGAGCAGGCATCCAGACCTAGCGAGAGAAGGAGACAGCAAACGCAAAACATAAGAAGCAAACCAAAAGGGCAAAGAGGACGGAGACGCGCGGGGTAAAACAGCAAAAGGGCGCGAGAGGCAACCAGCAGGCAACGGCGGCGATTGCAAGGGCAGGCGGCACAGCAGGGCACAGCAGAGTTCGGCCCGGACAAGACCAGAACCACCAGGGTAAGGGATGTGGGCAAGACCGGAGCGCGCCACAAAAAGGCGTAAAGAAGCCAAGCAGCAAAGCTAACGGCGACGGGACCGGCTGGCGCCAGCCCCGTCGGAGGCAGAGCGTTTCGGACAGACCCTTTGGGTTTTACCCCTACTGCCGCCTTTACAGTGGCCCGGGACGGTCGAAACCTGCCAGGCTTGCACCCAAGTCCGGCCAACCTGCAGGGCCTTTGGTGAAGACGCACGACAATCGAGCATCAGCCCACAGTTCACGAAGACGGCGACCCGACGCAGAGCCACAGAACTGAACAGGCAAGATGACCGAGGTTTCCCCAGGTTGCCGATGCTGCGAAGGGCCGCTGGTCCAGCGGGGAAGTCTTGGTGGGGTGGGCACGGCATTTGAGAGCGCCTTTTTCTTTGGTACCGTCCTGCACCCCTGGCTTGTCACCATTGTACTTGGCATCGTCTCCACAACTCTGGCCCGGCTGCGGCCCTGTAAGATACCAACTGTAAGTCTGCGCGGGCCTCCCCTGCATCACTGGCAGCGCGCATAGCGACAGCAGCAACGCGTTCCACTTGGGCAGCCAGCAGATCATGGCCCTTTTTGGAGGCGATCGAACTCTGACCGGCCGACGACATTGTCTCGGTCGCGAGCACGATCCCGATCAGGGCCAGGCATGGCAGCAGCACTAAGCACAGACAGGCAAGACTACAGCTCATTGAGCACGAAAAACAGCTACCGGGAAGTCGCGCATATGGAAAGCTGTCCGGCGACGTTTATATAAAAGTAAGGGGAGTAGCGCAAAATTCGGGCAGGGGACGACCAAGTTGAACACAGAGAGGACACGTAAGAGGAAAACGGAAACGGTCGACAGGGTGGTCTTGAGCGAGGTGACGTAACATAATGGGTCTACCGGGAAAGACACTCTTACAGCGAGGGCAGATTTCGGCAACATTATGGTGAGAAGTCAAGGCACTTAGGCGCTGAAACACGCATGGGCACAGCGTACAGACTTTCGACCATTTTCGCAAAAAGTTCCTTCTGGGTGGCTAAGTTCGATATGCGTGGCAAGTCCCGAACCAGTCGTGAAAAGTCGGCCGGTTACCTACGGGGAAACAAGGTCGTTGTGTCTTTTGGTGGTCCTGCGCAACCAAGCCAGGGGCTGCCGGCTTGCAAGGCCGACAGCCCCGTCGGGGACTCCTACCCTCCGGGCCCCAAAACCGAAGTTGCAGGGTACCGTACCGCAGGTTCGGAAGTGCCCCCCTTGGCTCCTCCTGTTAGCTGCTGCAACCCGCAGTGTCTCCAAAAAGGGACAAGACACTGTTGCCTAAATGCGTGCAGCAGGGCCACCCCGGCACCAGTGAACGCCATGGGGCGGGACGTCCACAACGGTAAGGTGGGAGTGAGACTTGCCGGGGTCCCTCCTCTCCTCTCCCCCCTCTTCCAGCTCTGCTGACAGTTTTGGGGTGGGGCTGAGCTGTGGGCGCTGGGGCGCCGTTGGCTGCGGGCCCCCTTGTTACCAACTCCTCCCCACTTTGTTGTTTATCTGGGTTGCTTCTTGCGGTTCGCTTGATCTGTAACGCTGTTTGCTCTGACCGTTTACCCGGTCCGATGACGTTCAGGCACGTTTGACGCGCCTACGTACTTTTGTGTTTCACTTGGATTGGTTATTCATGTGTTCTTTGTTTTGCAGGAGTGTACGAAGGAATGCCCGATTCGGGCGATACCCTACTACCACGGATTGGGATCACAAGGATAAGCTTGGGAGCTGTCAAACCCAGCACGATGTTCGGAGAACTGTTGATCCCAATCCTACCCCACTGCGGGCTCCATCCTAAGGGGCCGTATGCACTGCGAGGCCATGGGAGCCTGCTGCACGCGGCTGGAAAAGATGCCGGGGCTGCTCGGGGTCTACGGACTCTTCATATATAGAGAGTCAAATTTCAAGCGAGGGCCCAGCGAGAAAAATGTATGTTTTACTCGAGCCATAAATTATCACAAATTCATGGGGCCTCAACCAGAGGCTGCTGGCACAACTCGTTCTCGGAAAGATCGCCTGCAATTCGGTAGGCACGCAATCCAACCTTGCTGAAATGCCCGAAAGCATCTGCATATGTTGCAGCCTCTTACACTCTTGACAAAGATGGAGTTCACCAGGTTGAATGGGGGGTACACCCAAGAAAGTTGTTGCTTAGAAACAGACCCTTGGAACGGAACTGTTGCACTTGCTCGATCGCCAGTAATTCCAACGTTGGGCTACTGCCGGATCCTAAACTGGTCTTGGACTAGCACTCCGCACCTGCTTTGCCTCGCCACATTCGACCCGCAGACGTTTCATCTGGCAAGCATGGAGGGCAAGCCGTGAACAAGACTACACGCTGTAAGCAACTGAAGAGTTACTTGCCTTGGACCCTTAGGCGCCACAAGAATAAGGAGTATGACTTGGTACGACTAGTTGCTCTCGCCAGCTACAATTAAGGTCACTAGAGAGCAATTCAACTCTAGTGATGAGGCTGCTATGTACGAGCTAGGAACGAGCAAGGACTTGTGAATAGCTAACAGCGTGGAATAATGGAGAAACTGAGACGTACTGACATGCACACCCTGCACGATGTCATTTGGGCTAAAATTGCTGACTCAGCCTGTCCTGCGTCCATGAGCATCCAACCAAACATGTGGCCACAAGTTGCGCTGCGCAGAGAAACGGATGGTCTGGGCGCCGTGCCGACAGCTATCGCACTGCTGTCAAACTCTACAGTGAGTCCACGCTTCCTGTACTCCTGGCTTCCACGCAAAGCCGGACAACGGATTCTCGTAGTGCTCAGAGTTTCATGAGGCACAAGTCTATCCCTCCGCCACAATTAATGCAAGCATACGCACGGCTTGAATAGAATGAACAAAAGAGGGACCATGCTCTGCTGACAATAAAGGAGCCATTCACGTTTTACTTTCTTTGAAGTGAGTGCGACTTGACTTCGCGCCCTCCTGCAGAAGGTTCCAGACCTCAACGGTGAGTTTCACACACTATTGCACCATTCGTGGAACATGTTTGGCAATCGAAAGCCGCAACATATAAACGGTGGTGACAAAAACTGTGTTGGCATGCCATAGAAATGTCCGCAAGGCTCGGGACCAAACCCTCTTCTCATGCTCAAAAGGATTGTTCTCCACTTGAGCACCGTCATGCAAATACTTTGCATAAGGTGTATGCAGAGCAATGATTTTCCCTGACAGCAAGTGCTTGCAGGAAAGCTGCATCATACTTTTGGACTTGAAGCTCCACTCCACATCCAGAATGTTTCGCTGAAAGTGACATCATTCTCCAACATGACGTGTGGGCAATCTCGAAGAACCACCGTAGGAACATGTAAATCTATATATATGTATCGTCCGCCTCTGTGCATGCAGGGGTAGTCAATGATCGCAAGGGATCGCATTCTCGCTCTGATGGCCTTCATGGAACTTTAACGTTCTGAGAGTGAGGAAGCATGATGCTTGCAAACCATGGCAATCCAAAATTCCATCGTCCTTTGCTTGTCTTTCCACTACTTCACGCTGTCAGATCCCTAGGTTTTTGGATAGCAGAACCCAAATTACACGCTCAGCCCTGGCCTCCTCAGTGGGCTCGAAAGGGGACGTGGGCCGCAAGTGCAAGTACATGGAAAGTCCTTTGGCCTCGAATTGGAACACCTTCACGCCGACCTGACCAGGTGACGAAAAACACCTAGGGGTGGACCACTGCGCTGCCTGAACATGAGTAAGGCAATGATGAATGTACACCAGGAAAATATGTTGAAAAGTCGTGGGTTCTGCATTGCGACTGTGGAACTTGGACAAATCTATATATACTGTAAAAAAATCAACGCTTATATACGTACAAGACATGGCATCAAAGAGGCATACCAATCCGATTTGTTTGACATGAACCCTATACCACCTTTTGTTCAAGTTGACATCTTAATGTTAAAAAAATGTTCCCTCACATGGGCCTGAGCACAAAATAGAAGGGTCCTTTAGTATCGGGCTTTTCGCTATCTTTGTTAAATCCCTGGGGCGGCTGGGGCGCACAACCGGCACCCATCCTAATGTGAATCTCGTATGACCACAATACAGTACATAGTTTCACTTCCTGCCCACCAGGGTTTCCTAGGTGACTTGCACATTGCAAAAAACGGCTGACATATCATGGCTTGCACTTGCTAACAAGTCCCAAGATGACCTTCACAATTTGTGGTTGCAAAAACCTCCGCAACCGCCGCAACCTGCGGTTGTTGTTTCTAAGACCGTAACAACGTCACTCTGCTTCAACAAGTTTACTCCGACACACTCTCCTGAACAAGCAATCTCTCCAAAACGTTGCAAACAAAAGTTGCACTCATTGCGTTGGATTATATAGTTCCTCGACATGAAGCCACTGAGCAAGTTTTTGCACTTTGTGTCCACGACTGTGCACAAACCATAACTTGATTTTATGATCAGTTTATCTGCTTGCCCTGACGACAAAAGTCTCCTTTTGTGTGCTTTGTTGCGCTTTGCCATGTTGCTAAGCACACCGTTATCCTGTTCCCAATCCCTTTTGGTCAGCTTCATCTGGTTTGGGCGGGCTAGACAGCTATAGTCCTGCCTGGTCCCAAAGTTCACACATGTTTGAGTTCCACCTTCAGCGTTCCTTGCTGCGGTTTGCCACGCTCCCGCTTTTTTGGCGGCGAAACGCCTTGGCAATGTTCCTGCCCCATTTTAGACCGCACCGTGGCCTTGCAAGCCTGCGCTCGACGACCACCTCATCTCTCCCCATGGTTGGTCCCCACAGCCACCATTTTCTCGACGCTGACAAGAGGACCACCGTCCACCTCCCTTGACCAGTTGGACGTCCGAGCCGGCTTGAAAAACTGCTGAGGGTTCAGAACGCGCTGTGCATGTCTGCGCCACTGGCTGTAATATTGGAAGTAATGCTCTTGGTCAGGCCGCTCTATGTTCGGCGCATTTCCCACGCGTTCGGCTTCGGCCACAAGTCTCTGTCCAGCTGGGGCTGCTCGAGACCTTGGACACTCTGGTAAAGGAGCTCTTCACAATCTCTACAGGGCTGCTGGCTGTTCTGTGCTCACGAGCTTAGACATGCCAGCTGTGAGCAGCTCTGCTGTCTCCAGAGTGCCAACGCGCTTGCAGCCAGCAGACCGTCGCTCCAATCACCAAGTAGTCTGCAGCAGACCCAATCCACTGCGCCATGACTGTGCCACCACCGCTGACAAAGCAAACCACCCAACCGTAGCGTGGCACCAACATCCGAGACGCGCCGAAGCGCTACCAAACAGGCGCCACCCCGACAGGCTCACCTGCCCAGAGTGTCCACGCTCAGCCACATTCACTTGGTGGTGTCAAAACAATGGGCCTTCCATGCTCTCGCGTCAAGCACTGGGAAAGCATCGTGACACTTTCCTCCAACCTTCAGGCCCCTCCTTCAAAGCTTCGGCGGTAGTCGGCGTAAACCGCCATCCATGAGCAGCTTTGTGCACGCGCAGAGCTAAGGCGAGGCGCCCTCTAGCCGTCCCAATGGGCAACCCCTACACCTAGACAGTTGTCCTGCCTAAGCCTAAAAGCTAGTCAGCTAGTCCACAGCCAGTCCCCAAAGCCTGGAAGGAGGTCGTGAACGGAATCTCATGCAACGTGGGGAAGCCCATCTCCTTGACGATCGTGTCTGCAAAACACAAAGAACTGCAAAGCGCATGCAAAGCCCTGACTGACTGTGCGAAACTACTCAAGAAACAAGCTGTTATTGTTCAGCTTACCTCCGCCGTTTAGCGGCTTTGATCTGGAACGCCTTCCGTCTTCAATCTCAAGAATAGAAGAGTGGCTACCAAGAACGCAGAATGCGGAACACTGTATATACGCAAATACACTTAAGTGGCTTTACAACTACACTAAGGCTTTAAACTTTAGATGTTTGAAGCAAGTGAGGTCGAGCTGTCCTTAGTCCGTACGCCAGACAGCAGGTAGTTGGGGAAGTGTTCGCCGGGAAGGGCAAGATGCTGAAATTCATTAATCCTGCAAGCGCGCGACTGCAACTTAGATACTCAGTGACTGAGTAGTCTCCTTCACCAAGTTCACTGAAATGTTGTCAACAAGCTGAGAGTGTGGGAAACTGGTCTAAACTGTGACGAGAAAGAAGTACCTTGCATTGAAGGATACAGCAGGATCCGAACTATGCACCGAAAGAATGGGTTTAATGATCGATAAGACCCGTTACTTTGCCCCGGTCCTCACAGGGCATCTCTGAATGTCACCATACTTGCGAGGCACTGTGCTCTTCACAAAAACTCCAGCTTTCATGTCATACCTTCAGAATGCAGAGAGGTGTCAACGATACCGCCCAGTCTCACAGATTCCGACCCTTGACTTTGATTCCCGTCACCAAGTGTCTGTCCAGGTCTATCTTTGCGACATAGGGACCACCTGCTTAAAGAATTTACTACAGAAACCTCTGCTGGGTCGACCTCCGGAGATTCTGCTTTCAGCTGGGAAACTGGAAGGACTTGGCCATGCGGAACTCGTCGCGTTTCTTCTCTTCGCTGCTCAGCGGAGGGCCTTGATTGAAGGCCTGCTCCATGGCCAACAATAACCTCTCTGGATCGATGAAAGGAATCCTTGGCAGAAAAGAATAACGCCAACTCGCTGAATAAGTCCTAATAGACAAAGTCAACACTTTTGGAAGGCTTCAGAACTGTGTGGAAATCACCCGTGTCAACAGTGCCGAGGCTCAATGTCATGCCACCCCATGGAACTTTGACACCGTCCATGTCCACCACAAACTTCTCGGGATAGAAGTTAGCCACGGGGGAGTGTGAGTCAAAGAGCCACTGGTAACAGCTAGGCAGCAGAGTCTTGGAACTAGAAGGCAACACAGCCATGAGTTGTTGGAAAGGCTTGAAGGGCATTCCTACCTGCAAGGAAATCTCAGGGTTCGACAGATTGTCATAGTTTGCCAGGTCAAAAGCCATTGGAGCGTGATAGAAAGGGTAGTACCAACTCCAAGAAGCATGATCTGGGCCACGAAAGTAGTAGCGCATGACCCAATGCAACCCCTCTAAGTAGGACTGAAATAATTTCCGTTGTTTCCTAAGATTGCAGGCCAAGCTGACAGGAAAGTTTTCATGAGCCGTTTGTTGTGTCATTGTCACCAAAGTCAACATCGTCGGGGAATGGCAAAAAAACGACTCGTAGCTATGAAAACGAACGTCATGGCTCCTCACTTTTCCGAAAGAAATACGAATCGCACCCGGACGACTTTCACCACATTTTAGTATAATCCCGGCGAGAGGCCCAAAACAGTGTTAAGTAGTGGAAGAAAGGGTGAATAAGCCAACTTCCGCACTTTAAAGCACACAGTTTCCACATACGGGTAAAAGCACGCATATATGTGAGCAAACATATGAGACACAGATATGAGAGCACAGGACCACAGCCCATATATGAGAGAGCACACCTGTCAGAGCAATGAAATAGAGCAAACACATGAAAGCACACCGAAAAGAAAAACACGTGTTTTGCACAACACACACAGGTGAGCAAGCAGACGAGAGCACACAGGTGAGAGCGACACGTGCGAGATGACACATAGCACATGAGAGAGGAGCACACATGATTGCTGTGCCTGCCATGAAATCTGCATTTCCGGGCTTTAAAAGCGGCGCTTGCCACAAAATCTGCACTTCGAGGTTACAAAGCACCGCGCCTGCCACGAAGTGTGAACACGCACGTTCACAAGCCGCGCGCCTGACACGGAATCTGCTCAGGCACGTTCGCAAAGCGCTGCGCCTGCCACAAAATCTGCTGCACCTGCCACGAAATCTACAAATGAAGGATCACAAAACGTTGCACCTGCCACACCACGCAATCTGCATATCAAGGCTCACATCGCGCAGCTCTGCCAGTGCGTTTCGCGACAAAAGCACTTCCAAAGGCAAGACCGATATGCCAAAACGCAGTTTTCGCACTATACTTTCCCTAGATTGTGAAAACAAGCCACATGTCACTGCACCTGCCACAAAATCAGAGCACCCCAAACACCACCACCAAGTCCAAAGCGCTCCACCTCCCACGAAACTGCACATCGAAGTAAAACCGCTCCGATCTCCGTTGTAAATAGCATCGAATTGGCCGCGCACACCGGTGAGCACCCACCGTAAGAACCATTGTGTCCACACTGTTTGGGGAACAAATGGGTTGCTTTGCCTACTAGGTTAAGTTTCAATTGAAAAGGCCAAGACCTAAGTGCTCGAAGTTTTCGGGGTAATGTAAGGATGAAGGTCAAAGCATATCTCCCTGAATGCTATCGAGCGACTGTGTCCCTTCATAGTCATTCACATCCATGGCAAATTTGACCTCATACCATTGCTCTCTTGCCATCTCAGAAGTGGGTGGCGGCTCAATTGGTAAGTCTGGTGCGTATTCCTTTGGCGCAGGTGCTTCTTCCAGACCCACCAGCCGTTGCTTTCCAAGTGTGAATTCTTGCTCATCACAAGCCGACTGTAAATGCCCGTCTTCCAGCTCCCCATACTTCTTCAAAAACTTCGAGAACCTGAAAAAACTGGACGAACACACCAAAAATTGCCAAAGTATGTATACCTATCCTTCTGGGCTGCTCCAACCACCATTTGAAAAAGGCTTGTGCTCAAGCCCAGGTGCTGCTTGAAGTCAACCTCCCCACAGTTTTTTTGTAAGCCAAAAGCTTGAACTTGCAGAACTTGAGGCCAAGTGGTCCTTGTACACTCGAAATAGATCCTCCAAGCCATGCTGTCCAATCTCAGCAAAAGGCAAACACGGCAAGAAGTCATTCCCTACGAGGACACAGAAAAGGATGAAGTCATCGATGATTCGCTCCAGGTTGTGAAACTTTGGCTCAATCTGCGGTGCAAACTCAATATCCAAGTACTCTCCTGACATTGCAGCTCATTGGATTTCAAGCAAGTAATTAATGAGAAATTGTTGTATGTCATATGTACATATATGTACTGTACATTGTATTATATCATGTATATATGTATATTATGATATGTGTGTATATGTGTGTATACAGAATTTGCTTGGTGTCTGCTCGGCTTTCAATTCAGACTACCATCTGGTCACCGAGCTTCTAAGAAGGGACACATGCAACAGCTGGAAGCGATCTTTTGCAATCAGCATGCGCTGATCTGTGGTTTTCGTCTCCCGGCGGCCAAACACAACCTGGAGGGGCAGGGCCAGGCAAGGCCAGGCAGGGCAAACTATATAAAGACACAATGCTCTCCACTGTATACAAAACTCCCCTCTTTTAATTGCAGTCGCAATGAAACTCGACGGAAACCAAAACAATGCACTCACAAAGCTGCAGCTGTGCACTCGCGGATTGCTGCAGGAAGCAAGCTGAGAAAAAAGCGGCTGATGTTGATCTTGTCGGGCGCCTCCTCCCGAAGAAGAGCAAAGTGCGGCTCGTGGGACGCTAACGAGAGCATGATCAAGTCGGCGTCAAGGCCGTAGAGGCAATGCCTGGAAGGGCAGGAAACAGCACCACTGCTAGCTGTAGGCAAAATGGATGTTGTGTCCCTCAAACACATAAATAACGTCAGAACAATCTCTTCTGAAGCATGTGTCAATCAGGTCTTGGCCGCATCATTTAACCCAACAGTATCTCCTCATATGTGCACTGATGCACTTTACAGTTCACATTATGGTGTTTCTTCCAAAGCCTCTCGAAGCAAGCATTTTCGAAGAACCCCGCCTTGTGTTCGGATCATGATCTGGCTGGGCCTGTGTCACTCCGCACACCATGTGCGAATATGCGCAATCAGTTGCTCAACAGAGAGATATCAAATAGACACAGACACATTTTTCCCGACGAGTTTGATTGGTTGTGTTAAAAGGAGCATAGTTTCCGACTGTGTATCTAAGAATAAGGCGATGCTTGAATGGGTTCAGGCGAGCAAGCTCAAGAGAAGTCACACAAACAAGTCAGTGGTCCTAACGTTCATTCCATGCAAGTTGGAGTATTGGCAGCAGAGAGGTTGCTAGCAGAATGGTCGCAAGCCGGAAGCGAAGTCAGTCTGTTTTTGAAATCACCATGCATTCATGGAAATTGTGTCAATTGAAGCTATATGCACGAGCGATTAAGTCTAGCTCCAAACTCCAGGCTTTCAGGTTTGCAGGCGAACAGCTGGAAACAGAGTCTGGAACAGAGTCTGGTTCCAGAGTTCATGGCAAAAAGTTTCGATCACGGCCTGGTTCAGAAGTAAGAACCAGGGAGGCAAGAACGCCTGTACCTCCCAACATTCAGCGGCAAAAACATGTGAGAAAAGAACATGTGAGAAGTACATGGTAGAAGCCTCGCTTCAAGAAGACAAAGAACAACAAGCGCAGATTGGAGTGGCTCTGTTCTGTACAAATGTCAAGCGACAGTCTCCAACACTACCTGTGAGACGGCTGGCACCAATAGGGCCCTCCAGCTCAAGTCCCTGCAGTACAAAGGGCGTGTGTACAACACTTCGCATTTTTCATAGTAGCGGAGCATTGACCGTGGAAGCATCCAGGGGAGTTCCAACAACCAACAACAAGCACAACAGGCAGAGCCTTGATCCCAGAACACGAGGGGAGCTCAACAGACTCAACGGACAAAGCAACACCTCAGAAACGACAAAACGAAAGCCAGGACCAGCCAACAACCGCCAAAAAATAGAACTATGTGTATATATACTCTAGTTATCCAGTTCTCGATCTCGCTATAAGAAGCGCCTTTCTTGGGGTTATCAGACCCTCAAAAGCCAAAGAAAGGGCACACCTACAAAGACATGGTAGATGATACATGACATTACTTGAACCAAGAAGCAACGTTTCCTTCGAAGATTCACGACTTGGCTTAGTACTCAAAGCACTCAGCTACGGACTGTTAACAGCTGCAAACACTTCAAACTACACCACCGGAGCTGGAGGCAAATTGCCAGTGCAGTGTTGACGTTGCGAGAGAGGTATTCTTTGGACCTCTGCAGCTGGCGATGCCAAAGTGCAGGTGTGGTCCCCATTTGGGAACCGTCCACTTGCGATGCCTAGGTAATCGGTAGGGATATTTTTTGTTTGCCTTTGCATGGTTGGTTTTTCTTTGGATTGCTCCGCTTTTACTTCGTGTGGCCCCGCTTTGGTTTCATTGTGTCCGAAATATTCAAGGGGCGGGTCAGATTTGATTAGATTTAGTGGCCGGGGCTTACTCAGCCAAATGTTGGCAGAAGTGCAACAGGAGCAAGGGTCAGCCCTTTTGTACTCATGAGATGAATCAGTTATAAATATATATATATATGTCATAAGGCTGTCAGGTGCGTGTGTCACGCAAGCCCATGCAAGCACATTTTTTGAAAGATGTTTGCAATAGCTGTGAGTTTGCAGTCACAAGCTGCGCGTAAGCTGCCAGTGCGGGGTGGTGGAGGTTTTTCTTCCGCGCAAGCGCACCTGAATTAATTGTAAATTACAATTTCCTAGGTTTGATACCTGAAAAAGCGCAACTTACAAATACCAAATCACCTGAAAAATTGTAACTTACAATTTTGAGGCCTCTCAATTGGTCAGACATCCCATAGGCCTCAAAAATGTAACTTACACTTTTCCAAGAATGTAAGTTACATGTTTGAGGCTTCATTGAATAGTATGGTATTTCTCAACATGTCAAAGCAGAAATGGGAATGCTATCTTGGACAGAGAATTCTAACACAGGTGCCACACTGCAAGTATTTGATGGGGGGGGGGTCGAAAATGAAACCACACACGTCGGAGGCAGTAAGTTATATTTTTTAACCCCCCGCCTTCTAAAGCAGTAAGTTACATTTATCCACCCCCCCACCCCAAAGTGAGTGGTTTGGGGGGGTTGATAAATGTAACTACAGGCCTCCCACATCCTAAGTTACATGTGTGAGCACCCCCCCCAAAAAAAAAAGGACGTTAAGGGGGGGTAACTTACAATATAAAAGACCCCTAGGGGGGCCCCAGAAAGTGTAAGTTACATTTTTGACGACCCCCCTCAAATCCATGGGTAAGGGGGTAAGGATCAAAAAATTATATAATCACCATGAAATGTTGATAACAAGGCATAACAATGACCCAACAGCGGAACTCAAAGTCTCACACACAACTGCGCCTTGGCTTTGCGTATGTAATCCATGATCTTATGCTCACCTTCGCCCGCAGTCTCAGGGCCCGAAAGGACCACTGTAAAGCTTTGCCAGGCTGGATCCTCCTCAAATTCTCACATTCACCCAGCACCTCTTCCAGAATAGGATTCCTCTTTCTGCTTCAAGGTATCATGATTACGGCGATTGTATTCTAGCTAGCAGCTAGCTGTCAAACCGAACTCAATCACGTTCAAAGTGGGCACAGGCTCAAGTCAGAGGGGATTCACTAGCAATTGGGTGTGGGTTGTCTAGTGCGCCTACTGGCGGAAAGGTCCCCACGTGCATGTGCTCGTGAACCAAACTTAAAAAAATAAGAGGAGACCACATGCCTGTTCATTCGATGGGACAGCCTTTGTGCTCCGCAGTTCGGTTCACAGCTGTCGACGGCATTCCCCCGTTTGTTGTATCTGCGCTCTTATCTGTGCCAATGTGATGGGAGGGCAGTTGTTAGGCAAACCTCGGATTGCCCTCCGGTGCTATCGGACCCTTCTTTCGTCTGAAGGACCGCCAGGCACCTCTGAGCAGGCCAAACTGAAACTTGCAACCGCAAGTCGGTTTATTTGACTGCCCAGTTGCCTTTGCCCCCTAACGCTAGGTAAAACCCTGCTCCTGACGTCATGATTCCACATCTATAGTCTATACAAACCGCATTGTGTTCGACGCATATTCGGCTCGTGTACATTTGCCTGACTACTTTTCTCTGCTGTTTCCCGCTGAAAACCGTCCTGAATCTTCTTGCAAATAAAGAATCGCAAGTGTTCAGTCAGCTTGGCCATGAACTCCGTACCTGAGATGACTCAAGGGGACCTTCAGATGGTGTATGGGACTATCAGATCTCACAAACGCTTTCTGCAAGGCAAGCTAGCACAAAGCAATGCAAAACGCAAACCCTGACTTTGTTTTTTTCCAAAACGAGATTTTTGCGTGAAAAACACATCGAACGCTATCTTTGAAAAAATTGGAACAACGGCAAGATATACCCAATTGACCAGCCTGGAGTAATGCAATTTGAATCGAAATGTGGACCAGAAATATCCTGCAAGGCTGAATGAACTTCACATCACATCAGCAAAGCCAAAGGTGTCACAACAAGTCGTACGGCTTTGCGGGGTAATCAGTGAAATTATGATCAGCCAAACCCGTCAAACCGCTCAAAGAAGCGTCATCAACCAAACATGAGGCTGCATGCCCACCAAATATCCACGCAGCCTTTCACTGTTGTTTCTTTGGGAAAAACATCTTATCAGGCAGGTGGAGCCTGCGGAAAGAGATTGATTGAATTGCTCCTGCTGTCAATTGCACCAGAAACGAACTTTGCCACCCACAACTCAGCAAATTTAGCTGCACGTTGGCTTGAACAGTGGTTATTCCAGAGACCAAATTGATTTGTTGCTATCATTGCTATAATGTGGCTCAGCAAATGTCCTTTGCTGCTGCCACTTGACGCTCCAATCAGTGGAGCACTTTTGCTGCCACCGTCAACTTCAACGACAATTACACACTTCGACAACCAAATTCACACTTCGCCTCACTTTTGAGCACTCGACACGCACGATCTCCGCAGAGGGTTGCCTCGAGCCAAACCAGAATTCGCATTTCACCATGCGCTTGAGCCCTCCACACGCGCGATCTCCGCAGAGAGTCAC